CTGTTACTGTGCTTCACATTTGGTCAAGGTTATTCATTTGGTCAACCAATTAAACCAGGTGCTCAATCAATTGATACACCAGGTAGAGTTACTTGTTCAGATTCAGTGATTGTTTCGAATTCATTGATTATTATCTATGCTAAGGTAGTAATGATTAAGAAACCAAGAATTGATTCTCTCACCAATGGAGAAAGAGTAGAAAGTGAAGTTTCCAGAGGATTTGGAAAGTATGCCAATATTGGACCAATTACACCAAACATCTGTGTTACTTTCACTGGTTCAGTTACAAGAAACCCGTTGACTATTTACATGCTGCAACAAGAATTCAGCAAGAATAGAGATTATGCTTCTCCTGATTATTACACAACTGCTATCACACTTCCAGTTGGTCATAATGTTGAAGCCAAATTCTGTACCAATGAAACCTACTTTAACGAAGTTGGTCAGCTCAAACAAGAATTGGATTTTGCCTTCTTGTCAGAAATTCCAGAAACTGTAAGTGAATTTGTATTGACTTCTTCCATTAGCACTGGAGGTAATACTGCAGGTACTGTTGTTGGTGTACTTTTTGCTCTTGGTATTGTGTATGTTATTTGTGGTGGTTTGATCACTGCTGGTATTATCTATTGGAAAAAGAAGAGAGTCAATTATGACACCATCACTGAATAAAACCATAAAGAAATTCAAATTAATTGTTATCTTGATCATTCCGATAATTTCCACCTCCTTCTCTTACTCATTCAATTTGATATTGAATTCTAAACATGTCCATTATCCAACAGTGTACATTTTCCAATTAGGAAAAAAATGGTTGTTATTTTAATCGTGGTATAAATAATTTTTTAACTGACAAACAAAACCATCATATAGGAAAAGTCTAGACTAACAATCTAAGGATTGTCTACTTGATTGTTGTTGCTATTAAGAGTTAATTCTTGGCCTCTAATAATTCTAATAACTGTAACTGCAGCAAAGGAAGTACAAAAAATTCTCGCAACAAGAATTTTGGAGACAAAAAAAATTGTGGCTCAGATGGCTCCTCTAAAAGGAACCGGAAAACGTGTTCTTTGCTTCAACAACTTTAAAAAAACTACACAACAACCACTACCATCATCATGAATACATCACCACTTCCTCGTACTCCTTGCTCTCCAAGTGATCAATCCCATCATCACTCGAATTGTTCACAAATTTCTAGGACAAACACTTCAATTTTATCTTCCTATCCACACAAAATCTACACAATACAGATTGTGCCTTCCATAAAACCAGAAAAATCAGAGAATAACTCAGAGTCTCTGAATGGACCTGGATTTTACTTCAAGAAGGTTTGTCCAACGAAATCAACACAAAAGACAATAAGAAATAATTTGAGGGAGAGTATCCAAAGATCAACAGACAAGATTACAAAGAAAAGAAAAATGTAGCTACTGTTGTACCCTAAATGTATTTTGAAATTGAAATAAATAAAAGTCATGTATTTTAAATTATTATTGAATAATATTTATTATGTCAGCAATACTTTCCTCGTTCTGTCAGTCAGATTTCTTCTTGCACTTGGGGTTTGTTTCAACAGCCCAATGAAGCAATGCTTGGTCTAAGAATGAAACGATAGTTAAATATCCTTATTTGCCCTCTCCAATTACGACATAATCAGTGTAACTTTTGCCTTTGATAGGGATCAATCAGTTACTCCAATGCAATGAAAAGGATCTCATCTTCATTCATCAATTGAATCATAATGTTGTTAATGTTAATCAAATCCAGGGTAGAAAAGTTGCTCACATCAGACATATCAAGGACTTAATTTCATCTTGAATGTATTCCCGTGTAGTCCAATGGCTAGGATACCTGGCTTTCACCCAGGAGGTCCGGGTTCAATTCCCGGCATGGGAGAATAATTTTGATTTTGGGTTCGAATTCGTGTTCAACAATGAAGAATCGAATAATAGCATTACCCGATCGAAAGTACCAGGCTTGGATTGGTAGTATTTTTGCTTCATTGTCAACTTATAATAAAATGTGCATAAGGAAAGAGGAGTATGATGAAACTGGACCAAATATCGTTCATAGAAAGTGAATCGAATAAATATCACAGAAATGCTTCATTAATGATTGACGCCTTATCTTCCAACAACATATTTCCATCAACTACTGTAGACCAAAGATAATTTTATTTATGGAAGACTTCCAATATTCACTTCAGATCTTTCTTCAAGAAATTTCGAGCAAATTGATTTAAAGTGTTGTAAGAGATATATTGATTATTTCGAAAGTTTAAAACAGAACAGTATTGGACGAAAAAGATGAAAGAAAAATAATTTTCAATGTCAAAGCAAAAGAATGTAAGGTAGAACCATTTACAATATACACATACCGCATTCACCAACCTTGGTTAGTTTTGGAGCTTATTCGAGCTTTGAAGGATTTTTGAATGTTGAATTTGAATGGAAATTGTTGGGTGAATTCTCTGGTTTAACAATGTTAGTGATTGATTACGATCGGAACACATTAGGTGCTGTCCATGGTACGAAATTATTGCATCACGTTTTAAAAGAAATTTTCTACCAATCAACCTCTTTGTAATTCTTGTATAATTTTCCATACTTGAAACTTCCAGAAAGGATAGGGTGCAGAACTCTGAAGGCAGCATCAAGATCAGTAAGAGGAGGAGCTCTATATGCAGGTAAAGCAGAGGATACCCAACCAGTATCTACACTATTCACCAAAATTCCATTTCTAGCATAATATTCGCTGCAACTCCTCGTTAGCATATTTAGACTTGCCTTACTAGTATTGGTTTGAATATGACTATCAGATTTCCCACTCGTCTCAAATTGTCCCTCATGAGAAGTGACATTGATTATAAAACTATGCCCAAAACGAACTGAATGATGGATGTCATTTTCTTCTAAATCTTGGCTGTCATCATATGATGGTTTCATAATTTCAAACAACTCTGAAGCTAGAATGGTTGGAGAAACGGTATTAATCATTTGAGATTCTACAATTTCAGTGACGGATACATCAGAAAGCTTCTCATTCCAAGAGTTTGTAGGCCTATAATCGACTTGTTCTCCCCAAATATCTTTTTCACCTTTAGGAAAGTAATCATAAGTCAATGACGCATCATCTAATCTGGTTTCAGTTGACTTGGTAATTTCAATAGATTTCTCGATAAGGTTTGAATCATTTTCATGAATAATTGGCATGGCACTTTCTTCACTTTTGGTCAGGTACTTTTGTTCAGACTTTAACAGTGATTTGTAGTATTCTAGTGGCCGTTTTACAGTCTGGGCAGCATTGTTAATTAATATATGGATTTGTTTGAAATTCTTCTTGATATATTGAGTGAAATCAATAACTGACTTTCCATCTTTGAGATTTAGTGGGTATATCAATAATCTATCGTACCACTCAGAAAAGTCTTTACATTTCTTAAACTTTAACAGAGCGTCAGATGCAAATCTGGTTTCTTTTGTAAAATATATAGTTAAAAATACTTACCTAGTAGTAACAATAACTTTCGCACCCAACCTCAACAAAACGAGAGCAGTTTGAAGACCAATCTTGATTCTCCCTCCAGTTACAATGGCTGCCTTATCACAAAGAAGATTACTGGGATATGAGTATTCTCTAATTGCGTCATTGAAATGATTACAATGTGAGCACATGGAATGTCTATTATCTAGATGTTTTTCTCCTCCTCTCCTATTCGTGACACTGTACTTGCGTTGAGTTTTGTAATGAATATATTTACCACATAAATAGCATTTGAAGAAGTTGTACTTTTCTCGTAGATGACTCTCAAAATATCCCTCAAGAAAGTAATGAGAGAGATCAACACTGAATAACTGTCTCAAAGATTTTACAAAATAGTGAATATCCTCTGTGGTAATGTGGTGCTTAAT